AACCCGCCACCTTAGGTGTACGTGGCTGGCGCCTTAGCTGGTTGAGCTATAGGCGCTGAGCCCTTCACCCAGATTGTTAGGATCACAGGCGTGAGCCATTGCGCCTCGTCTTTTTTTTTTTCCTACCAAGTCAGAGTATCAGTTTGTCACCCGCAGTAGAGTGCTCTGGTGTCATAGCTCACAGCAACCTCAAATTCTTGGGCAAAAGCCAGGGGCAGTGGCTCACTCGCCAAGGCCGATGAATTGCCTAAGCTCACAGGTTCCAGATGAGCCTGAGCCAGAGCGAGACACCCCCCTCCATCTCTAAAAATAGCTAGGTGTTGTGGTACACACCTGTAGTCCCAGCTACTTGGGAAGCTGAGGCAAAAGAATAACTTGAGTTCAAGAGTTTGAGGTTGCTATGAGCTACAGCGCCATGGCACTCTACCCAGGGCAACAAAGTGAGATTTTGTCTGCAAAAAAATACAACAGACTAAGGAAGAATGAGACCATCTCTACTAAAAAGTAGAAAAACTAGTCAGGCATTGTGAAAGGTGCCAAGAGGCTGAGACAAGAGGGTCCCTTGAGGCTGGGCTCCCATGGCGCAGTGGTTAGGGCGCTGACCACATGCTCTAGGGCTGGTGGGTCTGAACCCAGCCCGGGCCTACTAAACAAACAAAAAAAATGATAGCTGGACGTTGTGACTGGTGCCTGTAGTCCCAGCAACTAGGGAGGCTGAGGGAAGGGAATCACTTGAGCCCAAGAGTTTGAGGTTGCTGTGAATTGTGACTCCATGGCCCTCTACCAAGGGTGAGAAATTGAGGCTCTGCCTCAATACAAAGAGGCTCCCTTGAGCTCTAGAGTTTGAGGCTGCTATGAGCTATGACACCATAGCCTCTGCCTAGGACTACTGAGTGAGACTGTCTCAAATAAAGAAAAATAAAATACAGATGAGAGGAAGAGAATGAACCATTGCTCACTATGCATAACTTCTCAAAACTTTAAGCAGGGCTTGCTTCAGCAGCACATATACTAAAATTGGAACGACAGAGATTAGCACGGCCCCTGCACAAAGATTACAGGCAAATTCATGAAGCATTCCATTAAAAAAAAAAACTTTAAGCATTCAATTTCCCTTAGATTCATGCTCCCATTTCCCTATGATATTCAAGGTATTGCCTTCCATTGTCATTCAGAAAGCTAGTAATCAGTTTTCTGAGATTTTTATTTTTGGTATTACATGAGAATATATTTATTTATTCTGAACCAACTGGTGATGAATCTTCACTATTTCAAAAGTGTCAGAGGCTCAGAGGTTAGGGTGCTGGCCACATACACCAAGGCAAGAGGATTTGAACCTGGTCCCCAAGCCTACTAGAAAACTCCAACAAAAAAAATAGCTGGGCATTGTGGTGGGACCCTGTAATCCCAGCTACTTGGGAGGCCGAGGCAAGAGAATCGCATAAGTCCAAAAGTTTTGAGTTTGCTGTGAGCTGTGACGCCACAGCACTTTACCAAGGGTGACATAGACTGTCTCCAAATAAATAAATAGTGTCAGAATGGCTAGGTGCAGTAGCTCACACCTGTAATCCTAGCACTCTGGGAGGCTGAGATGGGTGGATTGCTTGAGCTCAGGAGTTTAAGACCAGCCTGAGATAGAGCGAGACCCCATCTCTATAAATAGCCAGGTGTTGTGGCAGGCACCTGTAGTCCCAGCTACTTGGGAGGCTGAGGCAAGAGAATTGCTTAAGTGTTGGAGGTTGCTGTGAGCTGTGACGCCAGGTACTCTACCAAGGGAGACATAGCGAGACTCTTTCTCAAAAAAATAAAGATTGGGCACGGTGGCTCATGCCTGTAATCCTAACATTCTAGAAGTCCCAAGTGGGTGGACAGCTTGAGCTCAAAGTTCCGGACCAGCCTGAGCCAGAGTGAGATCTCATCTCTGAAAAAAAACGGCCAGTGATTTTTGCAGAGTACATGTATTCCCAGCTATTGACAGGAGGCTAAAGTAAGAGGATTTCTTGAACCCAAGAGTTTGAGGTTACTGTGAGTTGTGATACCAAGCACTCTACAGAGGGCAACTAAATGAGACTCTCTCAATAAAAAAATAAACAAAAACCCTCCCCCCCCACAAAAAAAAAACCCAGGGCTAGACAATCTCTCATAATAAAGCTATGATTGTTCCTCCCAATATATTTGAGTTCTTAAACTATAGTGTCCTATTTAAGGTTTGAACAGTTAGTACATGCAGATATTCTGTTAACAATCTAGAGTGCATTCACTGGGCAATGTAGCTTATGTCTGTAATCTTATCAGTGTGGGAGATCACGGTAGGTGGACTGCCTGAGCTCAAGTATTCCAAATCAGCCTGAGCAAGAGCCAAGACCCTCTCTCTCTTCTAAAAGTGGAAAAACTAGTCAGGGATAGTGGCAGGCACCTGTGGGATTCAAGCTACTACTCAAGCTCCAACCCAGGAGTTTGAGATTGTCATAAGCTATGGCACCAAGGGCACTCTACCCAGGGTAAGAGTAAGATTCTAACTTAAATTTAAAAAAAAAAAAATCTAGAGTAAGGAACAAAAATTTTGTTTTAGCTAGGGAGAATTTTTTTACCAAAGTGCGGTCTAGAATGGCTGATTTTCCAACAAAAAAGGCAAAATAGAAAATTCCCCTAGCTCCACATACTACTCTATAACCCAATCAGCCTCAGGTAACAGTTATAGAGAATACTTAGGGTTAAATCCACATTGTGACCTAATTTTACTACTAGTAAAATTGTACATTTAAACCTGGAATTAGCTAAGCATTTTGAATAAAATAGAGGATAAAAGTTTTGTTGCTAGTCATTTATATAAATTTTTTTTTTGAGACAAGAATCTCACTTTGTCACCCTTGTAGAGTATCTTGTATCATAGCTCACAGAAACCTCCAACTCTTGGGCTCAAGTAATTCTCTTGCCTCAGCCTCCAAAGTAGCTGGGACCACAGGCGCATACCACAATGCCTGGCTGTTTTTAGAGATGGAGTCTTGCTCTTGGCTCAGGCTTGTCTTGAAACTGTGAGCTCAGGCAATCCACCTGCCTCAGCCTCCCAGAGTGCTAGGACTCCTGGTGTGATCCCACTGCATCAGTCTATATAATTTTCTTATTTTTTATACCAGTCTGTCAGATATGCCAAGTAGCTTTATTCCTCCTTCAGCAGGGCTATTCATTTTTTACTAAACTTCAATTGTCTATTTAGTATTTCTCAGAATAAAGAAAACAGCTCATTTTAAACAAGAAGTTTATTTAAACAACAAGACGCTTGACTTAAAGGGAAAACTATCTAGGATTCATTTTTTTTTTTTAGAGTAATTTATCCCTACTTAAAGACAGATTGCCCTACATGTAACAGCTACGTACAAAAAAGTTATAAAATTGTCCTTGGTTTTACAATGATAAATGAAAACATTAAAATTCTCCAATTGAACAAGGTATGCAAGGTTTTTCATGTTGTTGTTTTGTTAAAACAGTGAGAGCAAAATAACTTACTGGAATATAAAGATAAGAGCAGATGAGCATGCCACTAATGGAGAAAAGGGGGTATTTTCACAGAACCAATATTTTTCCCCAACCCATCTCCACCTGATGTCAATCAAAACATATCGTTGGCCATTTAGTTTAAAAAAAAAATGCAATATGCTTGTGCACATACACCAGTTACTTTATGTACAATAAAGGAATAGGGAAGGGGAAAATGAAAAGAATAGAGAAAACTATACTGTAGTAGTCAGGATGTGGTGGAACCAAATTGCAGTTTTCTAATTGAGAATGTCATCTTGGTCTATAATAACAGAGTTCTGGAGTAAAGTAGCAGGTTCCCTTTTTAGTAGACACCTCCTGTCTGCTGTTGGAACACATCAATTGTATCTTCATCCTCCATTTCCAACTAGCATAAAAGAGAAAAAACAAATTTAATATGACAGGTTATTAAATTACTATAAAATTATAAGTTAATTTATAATTTTCTTTTTTTTTTTTCTTGAGACAGAGTCTTACTATGTTGCCCTCAGTAGAGTTACATGACATCACAGATCACAACAACCTCCAACTCTTGGGCTTAAGCAATTCTCTTATCTCAGCCTCCCACATAGCTGGACTATAGGTGCCTGCCACAACGCCTAGCTATTTTTCTGTTGCAGCTGTCACTGTCGCTGAGCTGGCCCAAGCTGGGTTTAAACCCACCAGCTTTGGCATATGTGGCCAATGCTGTAACCACTGTGCTACAGGGGCTGAGCCT